TCTCTCTCTCTCTCTCTCTCTCTCTCTCTCTCTCTCTCTCTCTCTCTCTCTCTCTCTCTCTCTCTCTCTCTCACACACACACACACACACAGAGTTTTCCTACTACTTATGCGATCTCAAACACACAGGTCTTGTGAGTTCTCTCTGAACGTCCTCGCCCTCTCCTCTCTCTCTCAGCTATCCTGCATGGCAGATATGGCGCCCTGAGCTGTTGACTACTTGCTCGCCATGCACTGTTCCTCCGGCCAGGATCTTGGGGCCGGATAACGCCACAGAGCTCCTGCATAGGCTGAATTAAAGAAAGAGGCAGCACCTGACTCTCAGGCTGCCTTGCTTCTGTGCAGGGTGCCTCCCGCATGGCTCGTGGCCATGCCTGCCGCTGACAAAGATTCAGACTGCTGTGGGCCTTCCCTGGGACTGAGCTGCAGCTTGAACTATAGTGTCTACCGGAAAGTTCTAAGTGTCACCCTACGCTACAAAAGGAAGTGGGACGCAGTACTGCGGTACCATGGCCGGGCTGCCAAGGCACGTGTATCCTTTCAGGTACACATGTAATCCTAAGTAAACAGGTCCTCAGCTCAAGTCCTGCTTGACTCAGCTGAATACAATATGTTTGGAGCTTCTCTTCCTCCCCCCCACCAAAAACAAATATCACTACAAATTATAAAATTAACTAAAAATTGGTCATTGCAGAAGAATATGGGGAGGGGGAGGGGGATAGCGAGGGGGAGGACGGAAAATCAGCAAAGACACAAACAGGCACCACCATCGGAGAGGCCGGCGGATATGCACTACCTTCTTCCCCCAATACAATGTAGGGTCATTATAGCGGTAATTTAGGGGTAATTTCCAGTCTAGTAGATACAGCAATAATGACCGTACGTTGTATTAGGGGGAAGAAGGTAGGACACATAAAACACTTGTGAACAGGTCGCTTCCAACGGTGTTTCGATAACCAACTGGTTTCCTCAGGTATATATACCTCACTGTTTGTTCTCTCAGCTACGATTCCGAAGGAGCAAGATGAATATAAGATCCTTCAGATAATTGCCACAGCTGCTGCACGTGCAAGCCACAACAATCAAAGTCATCAGTAGGGACCACCACCCACCCACAGGTCAAGATGTGTAAGTGAGCACCGCTGCAAACCGATAAAGAGCAGCAACAAACAGATAAGCGCAGCAACACACGGATCAACGAAGCGACAAACTTCGGCTCTTGCATCTGAAAAAAAGAGACATCAATAGAATAGGGACAAGAGAACGGTTCAGGTGTGTAGTCTACAAACAGAAAACATCTGCCCCTCTCAATACAAGAATTTGTCCTGAAGCCCCTTAGGACATTCGCTAAAATTGGAAAGACACAGAGAAGATTAACATGGCCCCAGCTCAAGGATAACAACACCCATACGTCGAGAAACGGTCCACATTAAACAAAACAAACAAAAACAAAAAAAAAAAGGAACTGATCCTAAAGGCACCCCTGCAGACAGATGCAGCCAGGGCAGTGTGAGGGTGGTGGTCCCCACTGACGACTTCCACTGCAGCATAAACAGATGCAGCTTCAACATGACTTCCAATACTGAAGAAAGAGGGGGGGGGAAAAGAATCTCACCTTGCTTTTTTTTCTAAGTACTAACTACCTACTTTTCAAAAAATCTTTTTTTTTTTTTTTTTTTTTTTTTTTTGGGAACCATTTCTCAATTTGTGTGTGCCATCCTTGTGCAGGGGCCATGCTAATCTTCTTTCTCTGTATCGTTCCAATTTTAACGGATGTCCCAAGAAAATATTCTATTTTTATTCTATTTATCAAATCAAATAAATTATTTTAAAGGACTACCGTGAACGAATCTACAAGTAATACAACTGTAAAACTGCTAGATCCAATTTTCCAAAGTGTAAGCATTGCTATGTTGGCTGCAAAATCGGGCACAGCGAAAAATAAGCAATCATGAGCCACCAGCCGGCCAAAACTCGTCATTCTCGCGAGCTTCTGTGCAATCTGTCTTTCCTTTTTGCTACCAATCCAGCCATTGCGCAGCAGCTGCCACTCTGCCCTCCAAAAGCTGTGACGGGCAAGTAAAATAGCTTTTGCTGCAACAGCCCAAGGGGGCAAAAAACAGCAAAACTAAAGCAGTAAGTAGGTTAATCAGGCTAACAACCAAGGACATAGGGCATCGCCACACCACTCTCGAAATGTACAAAATGAGAATGAACTTCTTGCCAGAACATGGCCAGATGAAGGATGTACCACCCCTTACCCCGTACCCCTGCCCTGACTAAGACTACCGTCTTCACCCGAAAATAACGCCCGGGTCCTTTGCGCCTTCACACCATAAAGGGGTGGAGCGCGTGTGAGTGCTAAATGTAATTCTTTCCGACTTACTGATGAAATACGAACTGGACTGATGCTCCCCAGAATGGGCACAAGGAGCCGGAACCCTAACGGTTCTGTTTTGTTTGGGGGAACCAAAAAAAAAAAAAAAAAAAAGCTTCTGCGGCAAAATGTCATCGGGAGCTTCTCTGCAGATGTGTGCTGCTGATGCTCCAGATCTCAGGCTGCCAATGGTAGCCCACCACAGCAACTTGCCCAGGCGGCTCTGCTGGAGTGTGAGCTAGCAGGCAGGTTGGCCTACCTACCATTTCCAGCTGATTGCTCTGCGGCTTGTCCTTCGGCCGGCTCCCCTGCCACTGAAGTTGCTCGCCAATCACGGATCGGGCTCTGACGTCAGCCAATTGGCCAAGACAAGCCATCCAGATGAATGGGCTGTTTACTACCATCTTCACCCGAATATAACGCCCGGTCATTATAGCTGTATTTCGCACAACTTTCAGCTCAGATACGGCAATAATTACCGGCCGTTCTAGACGGTAGGGTCGAACCAAGATGACACCCCGCAGAACCCGCAGCGCGAACACACATCAGACAGACCAGGGAGCTACACAGTCAAACCAAGCTGGTTTATATTTACAGAAGCAAGGGCAACCAAGTCGCACAAGTTGCACTAATACCCGACACCGTACATGCTTTTTTTATTGAGATCGGAATGAAATGAAATGTTTTATCGCTCCCTTCAGAAGGACAGTCATGCAAAAGATCTTTTGCAGCGCCTGAACTCAGGATAGAAGCAGAGATCACCTCGTTTCGTGACCAGCCAGTCTAATCGACCGATACGAGGCTGCCCTAGCTGTCAGTTGGTACACCCATGAACTGTTGAAATACAGACCTCAGTTCGAATTCCCGATGAGTGAAAAGTAACACTGAATTTACCTGCAGCCAGTCAGTTCAATGATGATATCTCAAGGCTGTTGCATTAAAAAAAAAAAAAAAAAAAAAAAAAAAAAAAAAAAAAAAAGGCCAGGACGGGAGTCGTTTAAGAGATATCTGCCTCTCCTTCTCTAAACAGAGCAAGAAACGGACAGTTGAGGTCTTTTTTCCACTGTTATTGTCCAGGTCAGCAGCATCTGCCATGGTGGCAAAGTTGATGTGGGGATGGAGAGGGGGCACGGGGGGTAGGGTGGGGATGGGGGAGGTAGGGGAGGGGTTATCTTTCCCGGTCTGCATTCATGCCAAACTTGTCATATGTCCTCTTTTTTACCTAGAGTGGATATCATGCGTGACGGTTGGTACCTAAAGAAGAAAGCATCGACACTGTATATATATATACTTGCCTGAAGCTCCTACCATCAGGAGGATGACACCGACGTTGACGATTGTGATGGGTCGGATGAGGAGGATGAAGACGACTGCACTTGGACGGCCAGTCTTCGCTCCAACCTATCGATCACATTTGCAATGCCAATCGCGTCCTCGGCGGCTCCTCCTCGCTGTTCGACCGAGGCGTTCACGACAGACTCCTGTCCATCAGGTGTCGATGCCAAAGATGCGAGGTCTTGAGAGGAGTTCAGCTGCAGAGCTGAGTGGAGAAAAGCAAGGGGGGAGCATATGACCGAGCCAAGGACGGCTCCAAGGAGGCCAGTTCGAAGACGAGCAGAGACAGACCCCTTCAGGACGAGACCAAACGCAGCAGCAGTTGTAGACCCGGCTACAATGGTGTGGAAAGGGTCATGTCCGGCCACGCTGTGCGGCGCAGCCAGATATGCCTGCACGCCACAGAACAAGCCGGTGAAAGCACTGAGTTGTGCACCCCCAACGATGGAGCCCCTACAGATACGGACAAACCTTTTCTCCATGAGTTCTCTCTGGATGCGAAGAGCCTCCCTCCGTGTCATCCCTGCACCTCCTTCCCCCCCCCCGACCCCGACCCCTACACCTCCCCCTCCCCCTCCCCCTCCCCCTCCCCCAGACGATAGCCATCTGTCAAATCCTTGGCTGTGACTTTGTGCAGCCGGCGTTCTCAATACCGATGCACCTCGACCCGGACCTGAGGTGGCGGAGGGGCTGGCACGTGGGATTTCCCACTCCTTCACAGGTGCAATTGCCTCCCTCACCCCACCAAACAGCATTCCCGCAAACAGTCCCGCCATGGTATTTGTGGCCCATGCCTGGAACGCCTTTGGGGGTTCAATCTTCTCACCAGGCTCCACTTTCCGAAACAGAGAGTCACCCATGGTTCAAGTGATACAGGGGCTCTCAAATAGGACAACTGCTGCAACACACGCCGAACAGGCTTGGCCTTCTGAAAGCAAGCACCTTCAAGAACTCATCCCACGAGGAATCTGAATCCAAGTCATCAGAACCACCCTATCCAGAAATAAAAGAGACACGTCAGAGAACTGTAAGCCCTTAAAGCTGCGAGACACACAGACGATCAAATAAGCAGGAGAGAGGCAGGCAGACAGACAGGAACAAGCAGACGGCAAGCACACAGATGGACACCGAGAGTCGAAGATGGAGGGAAGCTACCGAACTTGGAGCGACATGAAGTGAGGGAGGCAGATGGCAACCACACAGCAGCTGGACGAATGGCCGAAGTGACATTCGCCCAGCAGCTGCTGGGAAAACGACTCGCACAAGGGAAGGGAGAAGAAGCGGTTACAGGATGGACAACTGCCAACGGTGGAGCGAACAACAGCACCTGGGCGAATGGCCGAAGGGGCAGGTGGGCAGAGAGGCATACAGAGGGGAGAATGTGTACAAGGATGACACAGGTCGACATAAGACTCGCAGATGCAGGGGAGGAGTAAAAGGATGGACAATCACCAAATGGGGCACCAGCGACAGCAGATAGATGAATGAACGAAGCGCCAGGCCAGCAGGGAGGCATATGAACAACAGTAAAGGAACAGCTGGTGGGGTGGGCTGATGCACAGGCATGCCGTGATAAGAAGTCAGACAAACTAGACAGAGAGACAGACAGACAGACGCACCCGACAGAGAGACAGACGGACGGACGGACGGACGGACGGACGGACAGGCGGGCGGGCGGGCGGGCGGGCGGGCGGGCGGGCGGGCGGGCGGACGGACGGGCGGGCGGGCGGGCAGGCGGACGGACGGACGGACAGACAGACAGACAGACAGACAGACAAACAGACAGACAGAGACAGAGACAGACCGACGGACCGACGGACAGACAGACCGACGAACCGACGGACCGACGGACAGACAGACCAACGAACCGACGGACCGACGGACAGACAGACCAACCGACAAACAGACCGACCGACAAACAAACCGACCGACCGACAGACAGACAGACAGCGCCATCCACGCCAGCCAGGCGGCAAACCGATTGGTTAATCAACTGATATGCAAGGTTTTCTCAACCAGCCAGTCAATTGACGGCCTGACAGGATGATGGATGGGCAGGTGGATGGGCGGGAAGACACACAGGACTTGCATGGAGCAGTGCAAATCGTGATTAAGCGACACGCAAACTGCTTAACGACAAACGGATTGACAGAGGGAGGGGGGCAAACCAGCGACTGAAGGACCAATGAATCAGGGAAACCAACCAGCAGACGGGTTCCTCACAACCAAGTGACTGAATGACTCCAAGGACAAACCATCAGCCAGATAACGCATGGGCAAGCACGTGAGCAGAGATGGAGGTGGACAGGTAGATTACAGGCAGAAAGAGACAAATACCAACAGCCAGCCACACAGCTAGGCAAGCGGACACACAAGCAACCCCACAAGAAGCCAGACAAGCAGAAGATGAGCTGGATAGACGAGAGGCGGACAGAGGCATACGGGCAGCCACAGGGACAGATGTCAAGCAAGCAGGCACACAAAAGCATCCCCATATGCATCCAGATAGGTATCTGTGCGTGGGACACGTGCCAGATAGGCAGAGCAAAAGACGGACCAAAATAGCTGGCTCACTCTGCATTCCAGGTTACATTTAGAATGCTATGTAGTGGAGTGAGGCCCTTTGTAAGGACAGACTGCTCGGTGGATCCAAGAGAAGAAACAATGAAAAAGAGGTACGGAAGCAGACAGTCATCCACACGGACGGACGGACGCAAGGCAAGCAGGCACACACAATCATCCCCACAGGAAGCCAGACAGGCACGTGTGTGTGGGACACGTGGCACACAGCCAGAAGAAAAGAGGGACAGACAAAAAGGCTACTCAGCCAGACGGAAAGATATCAATCAGCTGACGGACACGTGGCATACAGGCAGAAGAAGAGATGGACAGACAAAAAGGCTAGTCATCCAGACGGACAAATACCAATCAGCTGACGGACACGTGGCATACAGGCAGATGACAAGATGGACAGACAAGAAGAAGGCCAGTCCGCCAGACGGAGAGACATCAATCAGCCGACGGACGAGAGGCACAGAAGCAGACAGGCACACACACACAGGACAGATGCCAGGCAAGCAGGCACACACAACCATCCCCACACACAGGCAGCCAGACAGCTATCTGTGCATGGGACACGTGGCGGACAGGCAGACGGAAAGACAGACAGACAGACAGACAGACAGACAAGCAGTCCAGCCAGCAGATGGACAGATACCAATCAGCTGACGGACAAGCGGACTCGCTGTGGATGGTATCCGAGGCAGATGAACCTAAAGACTGCGACGTGTGGACCAAGTCTTCACACGTTGGCAGATGATCCTGACAGCTATCTGTGCGTGGGGACACGTGGCGGACAGGCAGACGAAAACAGCTAGAGTGGCCAATGGACTGACAGATGGCAGAATGACAAAAAGACATATATAAATGGGTCAACCAAATCTTGACACGTTGGCAGACAGACGAAGCGACAGATGGGACAATCAACCGTTGAAATCTTGGCAAAATCCGCCTCTTGTTTTTTGTTTTTTTGTTTTTTTTTTTGGGGGGGGGGAGGGAAGAAGTGTTAGTTTCCACCATCCAACTCTCGAGACAACGAATTAAAGCATCAGCTCTGACATGAACAGGACAATATACCAGAAAGAGTACAAGATTGGATAAGATATTACTGTACGTCACGTCCTTTGGGACATCCACTAAAACTGGAACGATACAGAGAAGACTAGCATGGCCCCTGCGCAAGGATGACACGCAAAAATCGAGACCTGGAAAAGATAGTACCGGTGGAGAAAATCCAGAAGAGACGACAACTTAAGAAAAAAAAAAGAAAAAAAAGAGTCAAAAACTTTTACTACATAATCCACAGAGGATAAGATATTACTGGCGGAGAATCCATAGCTCACAACTTCACACAACAACGTCCACCAATAAATATCTTATCCAATCTTTAACCAATCTTTTTTTATCCAATCTTATCCAAATCTTTATCCAGTCTTTATCCAATCTTATCCAAATCTTTATTCAGTCTTTATCCAAATCTTTATCCAAATCTTTATCCAATCTTATCCAATCTTATCCAATCTTATCCACAGAGGACGGGGATCAGATATTATTACTCCTTTGAGCATTTAACTCAGACGTTCCTGGCTGCAATTTCGGCATTTCTTGAACCGAAATCGTCGTCAGGTCCTACCGGCGGGAACCCTATAAGCCCTGACGATGATTTCGGTTCAGAAAACGCCGAAATTGCGACCGGCAACGTCGCAGTTAAATGCCCAAAGGCGTATATTACTATTATTATTACTATTATTATTATTATTATTATTATTATTATTATTATTATTATTATTATACATCGCCCATTGTCTTCTCTCATCGCCTCGTGACCTTCTCCTTTGGACTGGGAAAGTGGATAATGTTTTAAGCGATCGAATGGACATTATCCAGAGTTGGCACCACCAAATCGGCATGCCCAGAGAGCACCACTTCACACCTCCCAACCGTTACCACACTCCTTTCTGTTCTCTCTCTGCTCCTAATCTTCTCGCCGACGCCTGCCTGCACCCTCCCTTCCACGCTCAGGCTGCTTGCCTCTCTCGCTCATCATTACAGCGCCACAGGTCCACATCCCATATGACAGATGGTCTGACGCGCGGCAACACCTTCTCTCTCTGTCTCTCTCTCTCTCTCTCTCTCTCTCTCTCTCTCTCTCTCTCTCTCTCTCTCTCTCTCTCTCTCTCTCTCTCTCTCTCTCTTTTCGCCGCATTCCAATTTAGCGGGTTCAAGCCCACACCGGACAGATCGTTGCACACGTGGCATCACCTACGACAAATCATCTGACACGTGGCAGCACGTTCTCTCTCTTTTCGCCCCTCGCTAATTCATGGCACTCCCGGTAGTTGCAGATACGACATCATCGGACACGTGGCATCACCTGTGTGACCCATCATCTGACACGTGGCAGCACCTTCTCTCTCCTTGCCGCTAGCTAATTAACTACTGCACCCGATCGCACATACTGACAGATCATAGGCCGCTTGGCAGCATCAACTTTCCTTCCAGCCTGAACTTCCTTCCCTCTCTCGCTCATTAACAGCACACAAACAGCACCTGTGACAGATCATCTGACACGAGGCAGCATCCCACTCACACTACCTTTTTCCCCCCGAATAGAACGTACGGTCATTATGACTGCCCTGTATTTGGGTCAGCGTCCAATCTCGATGCAGCCATAATCACCGTGCGTTCTATTCGGGGGAAGACGGTTACCCATCTTCATGTACGCACTCAAGTGACTGATCGTATACTTCAAAAACAATAAAAAACACGAAAACATCTTCCCCCGAATAGAACGCACGGTGATTACAGGTCCGCAAGAGGTTAAGAAGAGGCTCGGTACATGTCCGAACCTCAATGTGCGGAAGATTCCTGTACTCACTACAATCCTGGACCTCTCTGGAACCTCTTCCGCACTTTTAGATTCCAGTACACACTCGAGTGACTAACTGATCATCATACTCGAGTAACAACCAACAATCCCCGAACCTCAACGTGTTTTTTTTTGTTTTTTTTCAAGTCCGTAAACTATTCCCGTCCTTATCGAGAGAGATGCTAACCTTCTCTCGGCTCAAGAGGTTCTAGAGAGGTTCAAGACCTGAAAGTTACGTCAGTCAGAGGATACTCACACTAGAACTTTCGCGGATGTATAAGATCGCTTTACCGACCTGGCAAGGATGCACCTAACCGCTATTACGTCCACAGAGAAGTGAAAAAACTCCTAATGTTAGTATGCCCTCACACTAGCACTTTCGCTGATGTATAAGATCGCTTTACCGACCTGGCAAGGATGCACCTAACCGCTATTACGTCCACAGAGAAGTGTAAAAACTCCTAATGTGAGTATATGGCCTCAGTCCGTTTCACCATTCCTGTTCCAGTCCGAAATCCCCGTTGCC